GGGTTGAGAAAGAGATGCAGCACTAGAAGGTGGAACAAAAAATAAGGGCAAGAAGTGATGCCGCAGCGGTTGAACAAAAAATTTGTCAAGGGGATTGCTTACACTTGTCACTTCGATAAGTTGTAACTCTGTGCTGATGATAGCATCTTTGGCTGACGATGCCGGCGAAAGGTTTGCTAATGTACTAAGTCAATGCTAGGCATCACGAATACTATGGCAGAAGACACAGGAGTAGGTACGTTCCACAAGGTCGCCCTGACGACCGGACCAAGTTGCGAAAACGAGATCGAACCAACATTATGAGAGAGAGAAGGGAGAATGCGACCAAATAAAAGGCCACACAATCTTGGCCTTCATATCTACGATTTAAGAAAGAATAACTTGTTTTTAGTGGGCTACTTGGATAAACAAAAAGTTGAAATCGATTCCACCCAAAAATTTGACCAAGAAATGTAAATAAACACTAAGCTCCGAAAAGGGAAAAGTATAGCAGAAATATGAATTTCCACAACCTAAATAAAATTTAAAAAGGATTCGAACAAGCTTTGGCAAGTCAAAAATAGTTCATTCTTCGTATGAGCTAGATTCGGACATTTTTGGTTTAGGAGTAGTTTTCGGGACTACAAGTCGATCGTATGTGAAATTAATTCAACCTATTTCGGTTCAGCTACCAGTCCTTCATTACCTTAACCGAATCCTTGCTGAGCTTTCGTCTATCACGTGACGAATATCGTCAGTGCAGGACACTATGCTTAATGATAATTCACCAAAACACAAAGGCCGGAAAGGCAATCTCCCTACAGCTTCCGGTGAGGCCAACTTACCAATCCCTTCCACTTGCCTTTTCAAGTAAAATAAAAGGTACCCCAACATCAATCTATTAAGGGATTAATCGAAACCCAGCTTTTTTACAATATTAATTACAACACTTAAAACTGTTCCATCTTTAAAAGAAAGATGGAGAAAAGTCATGTTTCTAACAAATGCAATATTAACTAAGCCAAAATATCTTCTGTTTTTCCGCCAACTGACCTCACATCCAGCCACAATAGGCGTGACTAGGCTAGGCGGGATATGTCGTAGTACCTCGCCGACTACGCCAACAGGACCTTTGTAGCCCGCTGTCCGCTTGCTGGGCAATCGAACTGCTAATTTCATGTCCGTCGAGATCATAGCAAATCCGCGGCGCACAGCAAGAGCTGCATTTCCAACGCCTTCCCGTAGATCAGTCGGCTGTGGCAATCGCGGTTGCCGACTACGCAACGAATAGCCAGGTGTGACCAGATCAAATGCGGTCTATTAAGGGAATAAAACGCGTAGAATAATCGTAAAGCTAGAAAATTTTCATTGAATTAATCGTGTCAAAGAAATTAACTTAAAATTTACCAAAATTTTAAGTTAATTAAACTTTAAAATTAATGAAAGCAAAAATTCGGCAGTAGTCATCAAAATAAAACAATCACATTTCATGAATTATATAAATACTAATTTATCAAAAAAGAATATCGAAGACGTTCAGTGAGTTTGGTAATTGATACTAAGAATTTGAGTTTCAATAGAACAAAAGGTATCATAATTTTATTTTAAAGCTGCAAATAAATAGATGGAAATTATACAAATCTGATTATAACACACGAATAATATTTCCAACTAAAGTCAACCTAATTATTTTACATAATTTATCTTTGATAAATATAATATTTTTTGCAACATGGTCATATTGGTAGCAAGACTTAGAGGAACGCACCTAGTCGGGATTCCATTGTATGCATCATCATTTCCAGAGTAGGACTGTGGACGTGGTACATTCCCAATCGTTTCGCCGGCTGGGAATTTACCACGTCCACGGTCCTATTCTGGAAATGATGATGCATACAATGGACTCCGGACAAGGTGCGTTCCTCTAAG